TGAGTGAGGGAGTGAGACTGTGAGTGATGTGGGTGGTGAGTTGTAGGGTGAGTGAGTGAGGGAGTGAGACTGTGAGTGATGTGGTGGTGAGTTGAGGGTGAGTGAGTGAGGAGGTGAGACTGTGAGTGATGTGGGTGGTGAGTTGAGGGTGAGTGAGTGAGGGAGTGAGACTGTGAGTGATGTGGGTGGTGAGTTGTAGGGTGAGTGAGTGAGGGAGTGAGACTGTGAGTGATGTGGTGGTGAGTTGAGGGTGAGTGAGTGAGGAGGTGAGACTGTGAGTGATGTGGGTGGTGAGTTGAGGGTGAGTGAGTGAGGGAGTGAGACTGTGAGTGATGTGGTGGTGAGTTGAGGGTGAGTGAGTGAGGGAGTGAGACTGTGAGTGATGTGGATGGTGAGTTGAGGGTGAGTGAGTGAGGGAGTGAGACTGTGAGTGATGTGGGTGGTGAGTTGAGGGTGAGTGAGTGAGGGAGTGAGACTGTGAGTGATGTGGGTGGTGAGTTGTAGGGTGAGTGAGTGAGGGAGTGAGACTGTGAGTGATGTGGTGGTGAGTGAGGGTGAGTGAGTGAGGAGGTGAGAATGTGAGTGATGTGGGTGGTGAGTTGAGGGTGAGTGAGTGAGGGAGTGAGACTGTGAGTGATGTGGGTGGTGAGTTGAGGGTGAGTGAGTGAGGGAGTGAGACTGTGAGTGATGTGGGTGGTGAGTTGTAGGGTGAGTGAGTGAGGGAGTGAGACTGTGAGTGATGTGATGGTGAGTTGAGGGTGAGTGAGTGAGGAGTGAGACTGTGAGTGATGTGGGTGGTGAGTTGAGGGTGAGTGAGTGAGGGAGTGAGACTGTGAGTGATGTGGGTGGTGAGTTGAGGGTGAGTGAGTGAGGGAGTGAGACTGTGAGTGATGTGATGGTGAGTTGAGGGTGAGTGAGTGAGTGAGACTGTGAGTGATGTGGGTGGTGAGTTGAGGGTGAGTGAGTGAGGGAGTGAGACTGTGAGTGATGTGGTGGTGAGTTGAGGGTGAGTGAGTGAGGAGGTGAGACTGTGAGTGATGTGGGTGGTGAGTTGAGGGTGAGTGAGTGAGGAGGTGAGACTGTGAGTGATGTGGGTGGTGAGTTGAGGGTGAGTGAGTGAGGGAGTGAGACTGTGAGTGATGTGGATGGTGAGTTGAGGGTGAGTGAGTGAGGGAGTGAGACTGTGAGTGATGTGGATGGTGAGTTGAGGGTGAGTGAGTGAGGGAGTGAGACTGTGAGTGATGTGGGTGGTGAGTTGAGGGTGAGTGAGTGAGGGAGTGAGACTGTGAGTGATGTGGGTGGTGAGTTGAGGGTGAGTGAGTGAGGGAGTGAGACTGTGAGTGATGTGGGTGGTGAGTTGAGGGTGAGTGAGTGAGGGAGTGAGACTGTGAGTGATGTGGGTGGTGAGTTGAGGGTGAGTGAGTGAGGGAGTGAGACTGTGAGTGATGTGGGTGGTGAGTTGAGGGTGAGTGAGTCGAGGAGGTGAGACCGTGAGTGATGTGGGTGGTGAGTTGAGGGTGAGTGAGTCGAGGAGGGGAGGGTGTGTGATTGATGGATGGCGTGGGAGCGAGTGAGAGAGAGAGCAGCAAGCGTTCTGTGTGCTGGCAAGTCGCCCCTCGTCACGAAGACAACCCCTGTGCATCCCTGTGCTGTTCCACTGCTGGATGAAGGGCCTCCACACGCAGCGTGCACCGTGGGGGTAGCGTGACCATACTTCACCACGCCGGTTCAGTGCGTGTTCACGAAGGTGACAAGCGCAGACCTTGGGGGGCATTGCAGCGCAATGGACTCCTCCACCCTTCTGTTGCCCACAAAGTAGCCTCGCAGCCTGTAACACCTGTTATGCATGGTGGACGCCCATTTGAGCATTGGCCAGGGTCAACCCCACTTGGCTCCCGAGGTCTGACGAGGATTTGGTCAATGGTGAATTCGCGTTTCCTCCCACAGGCACAAACACGCAAGCAGCGACTGCTCTGTCGCCACGGGCGTTCTTTGACCATACTTCACCACGCGAGTCAGAGCGGGTTGGTGGAAGGGCAGTGGCCCAGGATCGGTCGTGGTGTCACGGACCACCCCGACGATTAGCCCGTGGCTCGGGAATCGATTCATAGCGCAGTGCGCTAACCGCAGCGCCACCGCTCCACACCCCCCCTCTCTATCTCTCCTCCCTGGCTCCTCCCCCCCTCTTACCTATTTCGCCTCTTGTCATGGCAGCCCTTTGCCCACTTCAGCAATTGTTTCTTGCTGTGGTTGTCCCACCTGACGACGGACGCTTGTGTTGCGCCCGAAACGTCGTGATTTAATTAAATTTCTACCTACGTGACTTTACCGAAAGAACCAAAGAGTGTGCAAGGGTTTGATTCGCGAGTAGAGTGCACTCCTCTGTGTGGGCTGCGTGCTTGGCCAACCTGCACGAGCAATGGTGGAGTACAATCGCCTCCCCCGTCGTTCTGTGTGGTTTAGGTTTGATATCTCCTGACACAAGCCACCCTTTCCAAACTGGGGTTTCACGCTGTGACATTAAGTCTCGTATTGTTATACTGGTAGGAACCTCCTGGTTACACCAGCCCACAGGGGATTATTGTGTCCGTCCGTCCGTCGTGTAGGGAGGGGCTGGGTGGGGAGGGAGGGGCTGGGTGGGGAGGGGAGGGTGGGGAGGGGCTGGGTGGGGAGGGGCTGGTCACCCCGTGGTGCCCTTATAAAACTCAACGTTTAACCTACTCACGCCGGCTTGTGCCCGCCCTCACAGTCGGGCATATTTGCGGAATACACCACGCCGCCGTTGACCCTGCAGGCCATTGACCGAGCAACCCAACGTTCCTGCCAGCTCCCTCCGCAGGAATGTGTTCATTGTCGAATGGTGGTGGTGAGTCGTTCACACGCTGCACCGTGGACTTGGGCTCGCCGAGTTTGACTCCCGGGCCAGGGCTGAACCTCACTCGGTGAGTTAAATCTGAACAGGTCCTTACCCCCCCAATCCTCTCCTCTCCCAGCCTTCGCTCACCCGAACTGATCGGCGTGGTGAAGTATGCACAAAACAACCCCTCGTGACCGCCCGGGGGCGCAACTGCCGACAGTGTTTCCACGGGGGGCGATGCAAGATCGGATTGTGGGCCACCCTCCTTTCTCACGACTCACTTTTACTGAAAGAGCGACGGTTTTAACGCCATATACGACACTTTGTTGTGTAACTAAACCTTTATTTATTTGACCAAGTAAAAGGGCGACTGAGCTGTAGCAGCTCTTTTTCAGAAGCGACCTGGCGATCACAAATGACAGCTCAACGAATTGGCTTATCGAGTGTAAATATATAGCAGCCAAATACTAGAATAGCACGATCCTAAATGTGGAGGGAAAACCCGGAGGGACCCGGAGAAAAATCCACGCGACCACTATGAGAGAGACACGCAAACTCCAAATATACAGCAGCAGCAGGCGTCAGGGTCATGATCGAACCCACGGCCTCCTGTATACTAGGCGAGGTAGTTAACATCTCGCTCTCACTATATAAGATTTTAGTTGCACGGCATAGAGTAAGTCTCACAGTGACAGTGTTAATAAAAGAGATTTAAAGGTACAATACTCAAAATTAATGTAGCATGCGCCTTGCTTTCGTGCGCAAAAAGCCTGGTGTTCAGCAACACCAGTAGCGCTATTATACATGCCAACTACGTAATTTTTGGAAATACTTTGTATTTTGTAACAATGTTTTTAGCATTGATGGTTAATTATTGGACGTATTTTTGTTTGTTATTTTTATATATATACTTGTTTAGCTGTTGATTCAGGGCCCCACTTGGTGGTTGCCTGGTCCCCTAGTTGTCAGAACGCTGCTGCCACACACCCTGGTGACCGACCCAGCCTGGGGAAGCCTCCACCCAGCAGTAGATTAACAAAGGAGCTGCAAACGACCTCCAAGCTCAACGAGCGTTGTCGTTGCTGCTATAAACATTTGTAAGTGGACATGCAAGACGCAATGACAGATGCCAGTCACAACAAGAACCACTTTAACGTGTCAAGACGTTGGGGCTGTTGAGATCACAAAGCGATGCGGAGAGGGGGGGGGCTGTTGAGCTGTTGTGTGTGTGATCAACAGCCACAGCTTATTCGCCATCAATATTTCAATACAAAAAGAAGCAGCAATGCACACACGGGCCAACTGCACGTGCTTTAAGGGAGGCGGACTGTGCGCTCGCGAAGAAGGCGGCCTCCCTCTGTCGCTCTTGCTGGTGGCCTCTCTGGGGTGGTCCCCCCGCGGGGAGGAGATGTTGATTGATCGTCCCGGGTGGCCACTGTTTGACGGAGAGTCAGCTGAGAGGGGGGGGGGGCCCACAGTTGCAGGCAGTAAACGGGGGCGTGGAGACAACGACAGTAGCAGGTGGCCCGAGTCTGTGCGACTCTGCACCAAGACCCCTTTGGAAATGTAATTGCCCACCCCCCACACACACACACAGCCACCGCAGTCGTGAAGGCTGTGATTGGCATTTCATAAAAATAGCCAGCGGCACCTGTCCGGCTGTCTTTTGTGTCTCTTTTTATTTACTGATCTGGAAGCACGACCCAACGCGCCCTGAAAGAGCCCGATCTGCGTCCAGTGCTCGCTGAGCTGCATTGGCTTCCGGTTGCTGAGCGAACGCGTTCCGAGGTGCCACGAATGAGCCACAAGACCAAGGGACGTCATAAGTCGTCACGCGAACTCCGGTCATCCTCGCAGCTGCTTGCGGCGAGCCGTAGAACAAGGCGGTCACTGCTTCGTGCTTTGAGATACGCGTCTGCGGGCGTCTGGAACGCTCTTCCGATATTAGGAAGCCACGGGAGCTATGGTGCCGTCCATAAATGACGTCACGCACCTAGGGGGGGGGTCAGAGGTTTGTAACGATTTGTGACGAGGGGGGGGGGGGGGAGAAATGTGACGTCACATCAAAATGCACAACTTTTAATAAACATAGACAACACGTTCTACTTAATTAAATAGACGTTGTAATAAATGTTTTCTCCTCCAACATCAGAGTGCAGCGCCACATTAAATACGCACCACAATAACAATAGTTTCAAGCGATTTGAAGCCTGTTTTATTTTTGGGGGGGAAGGGGGGGCAGAGCTTTGTGACGTCATATTTGAGGGGGGGCTGACTTTTTGTGACGGCGTGTGACGAAGGGGGGGGGGGTAAAAAAATCGTCCAAAATCGCGTGACGTCATTTATGGACGGCCCCTATGCACTGTTTAATCTAGATTGAAAACTCATTTGTTTAAAACAGTTTTTTGTGTGTTTAGTTTATTGTCCTTTCCCCCCACATCTCCGATTAGTACGGTTGACTACGTACGGTGCGAAAGAAGTTCAACAAACATACAGTACATACATCTCGGCGGATCTCAGAAGCCCAGGTACGTGTTGAATCTGGTTGGCCCTTGGGTGCGAGACCGCCACCGCCACCACCACGACTTTCTGAGGTGCTGTGTAGCCATGGCTCACAGAGCAGCTCACGGCCACGGTGTGGCGTGGGGCTGCGGGGTGGATCAGCGGCAGTCCAGCAAACGGGTTGAGTCTACGGTTGAGTTCAGTTGATTGGATCTGGACATTATCTGGAGATGCAATTAATATGTCCAGACCTCTTGAGTGCCATTCATATGCGTGGTGGTTTTTGTCCGGGTTCTCTCTGTCCTCTCACCCTCTTGTCAACAAACTCTCACACTCTTTTCAACAAACTCTTGTGAATAAAACAATTCGCCAATGTAGCAGGGCCCGCTTATCACAGTGTCCTGGATATATAAAGCACATTATTGGCATCATATAATTAAGTAAGTTATGATTAGAAAGACGGTAGTTATTTTAAAACCAAAAACTATTTAATATTCTTCTTTCACGTGGCACATTGCAGAAATAAGCAATTGATGTTTGGAATGGGCACAAGGTTTATAAATCAATGTCTGGTGTGGTGAGCCACCTGACAACGCTGCTTCTCAGCTGGTGGATGCTGGTGCCGCCCCTGAATGGCCTTGGAAGGGCAGCAGGTGACTGTGTGCCGCTCCAGACAGTCTAATACAACTTAAGGCGTTCATCATTGACTCGTTCAGTCAGATTGCCGCGTGTAATGAAATGGCAATGCTGTGTCGTACATGAAGTTGTCACCTGAACAAATGCGCCAGGTTAATATTTCTGCAGCACACCGGTAATGTTGAAAAAGCAAACTGCTCACACTGAACAATTAGCTTAACAATTAGCTTAACAATTAGCTTCACAATTAGCTTAACAATTAGCTTCACAATTAGCTTCCACGTTTCGCTGGGAGTTAAAACCAGCATCATCAGGCGACTGCCCAAATCGCACTTACGCGTCCAGGCGCGCTCAGCCAATAGCCAACCGGCGCATTTGTTAACGTGACAGCTTTACATGGCTGCGCTGGGTGGACGAGGGTATGCGACACAAAACATTGGCATTTTTACTCATGTGGCAATCTGACCCTAAAAATCGATTATAAATCATAACATTGGTCGCGAAAGCCTTGCACCGTGTAAGAACCAAGGGCGTGCTACTGAGCTGCCCAAATCCGTGAATGAGACTCCCTCTCAAGGCATGTTCAGAAATGTTTCCTCGTGCCTTCAAGTCCATACTCTCGCAGTTGCCTAAACCCCGGTGATAGCGGCGTTGTCTCCCACAGCAAGCAACGTCCCCAAGAGGCACACACATCTCTGTGCAATCGCCATCAATCACAGTTTACAGACAGCAGCGGCTAACAGCAGCGAGTGGCAGCAGAATGCAGGTGGCTGTGTTGACAGGGAGCTGTGTCGGCAGCGTCTCATCAAACACTGGTTGACTTCTGCTTTGAGCAAAACTAAGGCTTTGGCTGGCACCTGCGTCCAACGTCGCCGTAACTTATTGCCCGACCTGCTCTACAGGAGGATCGCAAGCCCAAGCAACGGGCGGCTCTCAAAGGCTGCGTGAACCCAGCTGTCAAACACGAGCCTTGAGGTTTTTCATCCATTAGAACAAAAGACTTTCCGGTTGACTGTGAGGATGCACTGTAGTTACGTCACTGTGACCGGACTGAAGGAAGCAATTGCACCCGAGAGAGAAAGGACGTCCGCCGCAGAGATGGAGCGATAAAATCGGCTCCTGTGCAGAGGAGGGGACACGTTGGGGAGGCCTTCATCCAGCGGTGGATTGATGACGGCTGATGACACGGTGACTTGACTGCCATACAAATTAATAAAGCGCTGGAGTAGGGTCGCTGCTGCACGCATAATTATAACTTTGAAGTCATCTTTCAATAATTATTAAATAGAATGTGTTAAACAGTGTTTAACGCATCGCACACAGTGCAGTGATCGTGGGGTCTCGGTGCGTTAAAGCATTTCATCTTCCAGACGCCTCACTGCTCTCTCGCTCTCACACACACAGGCTAGGGGTCAGTTGCATCAAGTACATTCGCTCACATTTCCCCCTTAGTGAATCAGTGTGAACTTAGGGAACATTTTCCCCGAAGGAATTTGATGCCACTGACTAAAGGACCAGACGACTGGGACTCTAGGACCAGACCAGGGCCCTAGGACTAGGCCTGGGGCCCTAGGCCTGTGCCAAGGCCCCAGGCCCTCCCGGCGTCTCACAGTGGAGGTCTCTCGAGCGGCCCCTCAGCCGTGGAGCGACCGAGCGGTGTGCGGGTCGTGGGGGAGGTTGTGTGGGCGGTGCGGGTCGTGGAGGTTGTGGGGGTCCTGGAGGTGGTGTAGCCAGCGCGACGCGCGGGCCGGGAGCCATGCGTCCTTGTAGAGGCCGAACCACACGGGCCGCTTCTCCTGCCCCGGTCGTGTCGCTGGCCCTGCCGCGACACGACATCCGGCACGACATCCGTAATGCGCCTCCTCCACATATTACGCAACCGAGTCGCGTCGCTGCAGCGTGGGCTGCATTTAAATGATTTCCAACTTGGGTTTAACAGCGTTTATGCATCGGCTCCGTCCCGACCGTCACCTCCTATTAGCACGGTTTGGCTACTGCATACGGTGCGAAAGAAGTTCGATGTACATACGTACATCAATCGGTTACGCAGGAAGCACAATAGCTCTCGGTGAGATGATCCAATTTTAATAAACCTTGCGTTCAGAGTTGTGTTGCTATTAGGGTCCCTTACGCTATATTTAACACCAAAGAACTGGACACATTCGTCAACAACACTGTGTGTGTGGCCTTAAATGGAAACATAAAAATCGGTGACATTTTGGGAAATGCACATAAGCTAACGAGCAGCAGATAAAACTGATCAAAGGGTTGCTCAAAACTTGACAACACTGGTCCCGATATCACTCGCCAGTGACGTTAGCTGTGACAAGGAATCCAATTTGGGGATCCAGATTCGTAGTGCGGCGGACTAACCGCTGTACCACCGCTCTGCCCCATTCAATTATCACGTGGCGTACACCATCCGAACATTTGACACAACAACAAAAACATTTTCGTAAAAATCCGAATCTCCCCCTTGGCTGGGCTTTTGTTCTTCGCCACGGAGACGTTGGGAACTGGCGGGCGAGCGCTCACGTGGGACGCAGGCGACGCGCGGGCGCTCCCAGCTGCCGTCGGGGCGGCACCGCGAGGTGGGGTTGGCGTGGCGCTGCAGGAAGCCGGCCCGGCACCGGTAGCGCACCGACGCACCCACCGCGTAGCGGCCGTGCGGCGCGCCGGAGCACCGTGCGTTGCTTACGATGGGGGGGTGGCCGCACCACACGAGACCCGCTGCATACGCGCACACACACACACACGCGCACACACACATTCACACACATGCACACATGCACACACACATGCACACACACGCACACACACGCACACACACACACGCACACACACGCACACACACACACACGCACACACACGCGCACACACACACACACACGCGCACACGCACACACGCACACACACACATGCACACGCGCACGGACACACACACAGCCATGCATATGCACTCACATACATGCACACACACGCACGCACACGCACACACAGGCACGCACACACACACACGCACACACACACACACATGCACACGCGCACGGACACACATACAGGCACGCACACACGTACGCACGCACACACGCAGACACTTGCACGGACACACACACAGGCACGCACACACGTACGCACGCACACACGCACACACATGCATGTACGCATGTATAGCCTTAACGGTATTGGTGAGGCAAGTGCTGTTAGCGAGTAGCACCTATGAAGGCCAGCAGGGCACACGAGTGGGTGGGTAGCCAGCACCATGCCCGGCCACCTTTGACTCCCTAGCGGCGATGTTTTTTATACACTGCACCAGCTGTTCATTTGAGGCTGAGACGACCTGGGGGAGGCCCAGAATCAGTTCAGATAATCGTCACTGGTGTTGGCCGTGAGGGGGAGTCGAACTCGGTTCTCCCGGTACGTAGCACAGCGCCCTGACCACAACTCCACCGCCTGTGCTTTATAGGGTCCACGGCTGAGCCTACAGACACGCAACGTGGTTGCATGCAACTGCATTGCTTATATGTAGATGTCTGTGCGCAACTAGTTGCACCCTGCAGCCCGTTGCTCACAAGTACAGACACTCGGCTTTCAAGCATCAATCTGCTCAGCCATTAGTAGCGGCGCGTTTAATCGCCATGTGACACATCGGCGAGCTGCCACCACTCGTCATGATTACGAACGTGCCCTGTTTGATCTCCTCGCTCAGACGCAGACAAAGCAGTTGCAGGCGATGACCACGCTGCTACGCTGATTTCGTGTTGACCTGGTCACTCCGGTATGGAGCCGGCTTCCATCTCGCCGACCAACGCAGCCTGCAAGCGGAGGCCGCTCGTTGCCAATCACGTTTGTGTGAGGGGCGTAGAACTCGGTGCTTCCAATTTTTCACGCACCAAGCTGTCGGTAAGCCCTGACTGTTTATTCCCCGATTCATTGTCAGGAAGCGGTAAGATTGTGTGGCAACGTGTGGCCCTGCCAAGGGTATTTGAAATCAGGAAATTAATTTACTGGTGACACTGCTGCTGCTGCTGCTGGTGTGCCCCCTTCTTCTCAGCACGTAAACACACATGGCGATTTTTGTTTGTGCTATGAAGAAGATTCCCCTCCCCCTAGCCCCTGTCTCAAGCGATTCTAATTTCCCGGTCGAAAGTCCCGCCGGGGAGTTTGCAGAACTGCGTTGGGAGAGTCACCGGCAGGAGGCGGACGCGATGCCGCGGGGAGCCGCAGCGGGCGTCCTGGCCGCGTCTCGCAGCAGAAGGGCAGGCGGTAGCTGCAGGGGACGTCGTTCCACTCACCCTCCTCGTGCCAGATGAGCACCACGCAGTCCTCGCCTGACGAGAAGAAGCTGTCGGGCTGCTGGGGCCGCCAGTGCTCAAAGCTCTGGAGCGAACAGAGATCCAGCGGTGATGGTGGTGCTGGCGGCGAATGTGGTTGTGGTGGAGGAAGTACCGGTGGTGATGGTGGTGGTGCGGTGGTGATGATGGTTGAGGTGATTGTGGTAGCCAACCAGCTGGTGCATCTGCAAGTCATCTCAGTTAGCAAGCCCATGACACCTGGGTCTGTGCCATGACCTTCTGTCAGCGAGTCTTCGACACTTCACGTGGCCTCAATGTGCACCTGGCCTGGTGCAGACGCTGTAGTGATGTCGCCGTCACTTAGTGGCGAACGGTAGCCAACCGTGCTCAGCGGAGGTGCAGGGGAAGGACAAGACACTGAACTGCTTTTTGTGTTAAGCTTGTTGTCCATCCCGCAACTTCCGATTAGCACTGTTGACTACGTACGGTGTGAAAGAAGTTCAACATATTGCCCATAGACTAACACTACCCATAGACTAACACTACCCATAGACTCAACACTGCCCATAGACTCAACACTGCCCATAGACTCAACACTGCCCATAGACTCAACACTACCCATAGACTCAACACTGCCATAGACTCAACACTGCCCATAGACTCAACACTGCCCATAGACTCAACACTACCCATAGACTCAACACTGCCCATAGACTCAACACTGCCCATAGACTCAACACTGCACCTCTGATTAACACAGTTGGCTTCGTACGTACATACTTATGGTGGTGGTAGCAACGTAACAATATCGGTGGTGGTAATGTTGATGGTGATAATGGTATATATATTTTGACAAATTTGACAATCGATGACTGGTCTGTGTCCATTTGTGAATATGAAATGTGGATATCATCAACATAAGCTGCCAGAGGCATATGCATGGGTTCTATTGTACTAATATTGTACTATTTGTACCAATATTGGTAATATTTGTACTGTTGTACTATTTGTACTTATATTGTACTATGTGTACTAATATTGACATAAATCAAAGTTTAAAGTTAGATGGCCAATGTTGAAAAATGAGCATGATCGTGTTCGGTGTTCTCTCTTTTTGTGTAAACGCTTCCACCCGGTTTCTCCTTTATTTTAGATTTCTATATTCTTTGGGTCTTTCGGTAAAGCCACGTAGATATCAATGTGGCTTTACCGAAAAAAATGAATTCCTGCAGTCACGAAAGCTTTAAGTCAACATTTAGCTATATAATTAAGTTCTAGATTTGAAGCTTTCGTGACTGCAAGGATTCATATTCTTAGGTTTTTTCGGTAAAGTCACGTAGGTAAAAATAAAAATAAAATTAATAAAAGTTAAATAAAAATAAGCACGCTTGCTGTATCAAGTAAATGATACAGCAATCGTGCTGTGACGGTTCAACCTGAAGACGGAAGCTTGTGTTGCCTCCGAAACGTCGTGATTAATTTTTATTTTACTTTTATTAATTTTAACTTTAATTTTTTACCTACGTGACTTTACCGAAAAAACCTAAGAATATATAATTAAGTTCTTTGTAAATTCAAATTAGTTTTCAAATTGTATCTGTTTTAATCCCACTCTATCCCAATGTTATTCATGAATCTCTTCTTGCTCCCTAGTATTTCCATCCGCGCTTAAGGTAGCCGCAGCCACCCTGGTTCTCAATAATCCTTCACTTAATCCTGACAGGCCAGCATACTACCACCCCATTTCAAATCTTACATTCTGATCGAAGGTCATTGAAGGTGCCATTTACAACCATCGAATTAATCGTTTGCTTCAATGTAACCTCAATGGCCAGCTACTTCTTGTTAACAACTCTCTCCTCGTATCTACTGACTGTGGACCTCTCTTTCTGTGGTTGCCCTGGATGCATCGTCTGCGTGTGACACCACTGATCTTTCCGGAGTACCCTCCCACTCCACGTCCGACAAATCGACTTTATCGCATTAGTAGCATTATTATTCAAATCCCAACTAAAGGCATTTTATTCAGCTGGAAATTAGCTGATAAACGAACGTATTGGCGATACACCGGTGGTGCGCGGTATGAACATTCATCCCAACAATTATTCATTTTCCCGCGATTTGCAACCCTCGGTCAGAAAATCTTTGTGGGGTGGTGGAGCGTCAAAATTCATTCTCGTGATTTTGAAGCAGTTGGAAGGCGAACATCAGTTCAAATGTTGCTTTTAGAACAGTTTCCACGAGGACCGGACTGTCACGCTGCACCGGTGCACCGCCAATACGTCCGGATAGAAAATCACATGTCGGGACATTTCGACCGATTGATCTAAATTAGTCATCACTTTTATTGGCATTCTACCACCCTCCTGTGAAAGTTTCCTTGTGTGAGAAGAAATTTAGATTGTGCGCCGATTGCCCTTGCCAGAGTGAGGAGCTACCCCTTCGTATCATGAATAATTTCTGTTTCTTGATTAATTTATTCATTTTTAGTTCTGAGAGTTTCAATTACTTAACAACAATAATAATTGCTATCAATGAGATTTCGCCCTTCATGTGATTATGCATATCGTTATTGTACAGTGTTGTGAGATGCAATTAGCATAAATGACGATGTACGCAAACATTGAAATTATTATTATTAATCGTCCAAAATATGATTTTCAACAAACGCCAGAAAGGGTGGAAACTCATTGGCAACCTGCTCGGTTGTCCTCACCAGCTGGGAGCCGTCGCTCCAGCGGAAGTCTCCCTCGGAGGAGCGGTCGTTGAGTCCAATCCACTGGTAGTCGGAGCCGAGGGCTGTGGGGGAACGGAGACACGAGAAGGGTGGCGGTCCGAAGCTGCTCTCTCCGTTCGAGGCAAACTGGGCGGTCGCTGAGGACACTTCACCCACTACTTTGGGCTCGAGTAGCGGGGCGAATGTTCAGGGGGGAGTTTCATTGCTCACTGGATATTTCACTGGTTGTTGGGCTGAAGTCGGTGGCGCATGATGTTTTTAAAACTAAAACGTCACGGTACTTGAGTTCTAAATCTTGTGGGTTTCCTCTCCAACACACAACCGGTGTGCTGAACGAGCAACTAACTGGCATCTTTTGTTACGTGACAAACCTTATGGATTGTCTGTGTCGGTCGTGGCGGGTTTAACGACACAATTATATTTACACGATCTAAACACCCAAAACATCAATTATGGATAGTGTTGGTCGTGAAAACCTATGTGTTCAACTGACTATTTAAAATACGTTGTATTTAACTGGATAAGACCCAATGAACTGCTATATAACTCTTTTTCAGAAGCCACCTGGCTAACACAATTGATAGCTCAATGAGGTGGCTTATCGTCATGTGGATATTTATAGCAGCCAAATACTCTAAACGCACGTGGATTGTAAATGTGGAGGGAAAAACCGGAGGGCCTAGAGAAAAATTAATGCGACCACAGGGAGAACACGCAAACTCCAAATATAGAGCAGGCGTCAGGGTCGGGATCGAACCCACAACCTCCTACATACCAGGCGAGGTAGTTAACATCTAATAGCCACTGTTGCGCCCGCAGCCTTAGCGATAGGTATACTTAACGTGGTGTTACGGGTGCAGAAATGTCTTCTGGGTGTGGTGCGATTTGTGTAATTTGCAATGACTTACAGTTCTTAAATACTCTGCTTGTGAAATTATGAATTTTCTTAAACTAATCATGATCATCAACATCATCACGATCATCATCTCGCTCGCTACCTTCACATTCTCAACATCCAAGAGTTCACCTGAGACTGAAAGACCCGAGGTGGACTTTGCAACCTCAAAATTGATCCACCAACGAGCACAAGCAGCAGGATCAGGGTTATGATTATGGGATAAGACTGACCTAGCGATGATCTTGACTTGGGCCCCGCGATGCCAACCGACCTCTACTCCGCCGCCACCCCATGGCCAGGCCCCCCACACTCACCAAGGATGAAGTTGTTTTCGTCGCGGGAGGCGACGCTTGCCAGGTGGCCTCCCACGGAGCGGCACGCCTCCTCTGCCTCGGCCCAGGGCAGCCGGTCTGCCACGTAGCGGTAGCAGCGCCCCCCAAAGCCGTGCCAGCCGGGCTCACAGGACACCGCCGCCACGACTGGGGGACGCACAAGAGAGGGGGCGCGGGGGAGAGGGGGCGCGGGGGAGAGGGGGCATGGGGGAGAGGGAGCGCGCAAGAGAGGGGACACGGGGGAGAGGGGGCGCGGGGGAGAGGGGGAGAGGGAAGGAGGGAAAAACAGCACACGTTAGTACACATACATGGAGAAACTGACATAGTGACTCATTGAAAACAAAGATCCCCCATATAGCCTCAAGAGACTTTTTGGGGAAAGTGCTGTTAGCTAGTAGCAACTATGAAGGCCGGCACGGCACACGAGGGGGTGAGTGACCAACACCACGCCTGGCCGCCTTTATCTCCCCTGTGGCGATTATTACAAACCACACCAGGTACTAATTTAGGGCTGAGTCGACCTAGGGGATGCCCAGGACCGGTTCAAATAATTGCCACTGGTGTTGGCCAGTTCGTAGCGCAGTGCGCCAACCACTACGCGACCGCTCCCCACCAGTGGCGGCTCCTGCAAAATCTCTCAGGGGGGGCAAATGTCTGGATGATTGATAAGGATAAGGTCCACCCATGCAATGGATAAATTAACAGCTTAAGCATGTAAAGGCAACTTCACTTCTTTAATATTAATGAAAAATAAAGTGACTCTTACAATACATCTTGTTTGTTTCTATACTCACTATTAAAACAAACCACTCAAGTTTATTTTATTAAAGATTCCACTAGGTGGCGATAAATTATATTGTTGGATGAAACGTGCTAACGTATGATGACGTTAGCACGTATGATGACGTAAGCACGTTAGTGCATGCCCTCCCGGAAGCCATAGAGAATGCATTGGAGCGCCCGCCGTTCGAAAAAAAACATCTTTCAATGTCAGTCTATGGGGCCACTCGGGGTGATTCTCAGCCAAAGTGAAATCGCCGAAAAAGAGGCGGTATTCCACAGAACGTGACATGACGCTGATTGGACTATATCCAGAGGCACAGTGACGGCTAGCGTGACTCTGTGGTTGAATGACATTGGTGGTGCGTCGCCCAATCGCCCTAATGAAGAAACCGCCCCTGCTCCCCACACTCACATTGACACACACACTGGCATATTGACCCACAATGACACACACAAACACTGATACAATTACACACATAGACTACACTGACCAAAGAAAGACAACGATTCTCTGTGTAACCTTAACAGACTATTGGGGCAAGAGCTGTTAGCAGGCATCCAATAAGGCCGGAATGGCGAATGAGGGGATGGTATGGCCAGCACCATGCCCGGCCACCTTTGTCTCCCCAATGTTTAAACATCGCACCAGGTACTCATTTAAGACTGAGTCGACCTAGGGGAGTTCCAGGACCAGTTCACATTATCGTCAACGATGTTGGCCGTGAGCAGGTATTGAACTCAGGTTACTGAGTTTATAAGCAGTGTGATAACCACTGCACGATGTTTTGCCCTCACCTGCCTCACTCACCGCTCACACCGTCACGTATTTATCTCACCTGTCCCACTCACCTGTCATGCCAGTAACTGTTGCACCCTCGCCTGTCACCACCCCCACATGCTTGGTGTCAGTTCCGGTTAGTTCCAAAGACACGGATCCGAGAGGCACGGTTTTTGAAGACTGAAACTTAGGAGACGAGAATTCTGGAGACTCAAGTCCAGGAGATGTGGATACAGAAGACTGAATCTCAGGAGAAGTGGACCCTGGAGACTTGAACGCAGGAGGCACGGAGACAGGGGGCTGAACCTCAGGAGACACTAATCCAGGAGATTCGGGTCCAGGTGTGCCTGTTGAGATGTAGGTGTGTCCAGGCGTCCAGGAGGTGTGCGGTGCAGGCCCCGCCATCCCTAACCCCTCCTCCAGGTGCCCACTCCCTGGCTCCAAGCCGGCTCCATGGGGAGCGGTGGGGGACTCTGTGGGAGATGCAGGCGATGAAAGTGAGGGAGGAGGCGTGGGTGCCTCTGTCGTAGCCCTGCTGCCGCCCTCCAAGCGCCCCCCGACCTTCACCAGGTTAAGATTTTCGCCCTTGAGGTCGATGTTGGCCCCCCGCAAAGTTCCAGGACCCATGTGCTCAGTGGTGAAATCACCGAGGCTAAACTGCACCTGCCTGTGCTCCAGCACCTCTGGCAAGGGCTCAAAGGATTCCCTGTGCTCATGGTGGTGAGAGTCTGGTCGGGAGTCTGCTGTAAGGCCTCGTGAGGAGGTGTCTCTCGAGGCGTCTGCGAGAGAGTCTGGTGAGGAGTCTGATGGAGAATATCTTGAGGAGTCCAGTAGAAAGTGTGGTATGAAATCCAGTGGAGAGTTGAGAGTTGGATCGGTTGTGTGGCCTGGTGGAGAGTCTTGTGAGGAGGCTGCTGGAACATTTAATGTAGCACCTGATAGAGATTCTAATATAAATTTTGGTGGAAACCCTGCTGGTGTGTAGCCTTGTGCAAAGTCTTTTGTGGATTCTGGTCGAAAGGATGGCGGCGTATCTTGTATAAAACCTACTGTGTAGGCCGGTGGAGACTCTTCTGAAAACCTTGCCGTTTCTCTTCCTGGCTCCGTGCGAACGCTGCTCCGCTCTGCGATGAGATCACCCGTATTCACCGCTCCGTCTACCAACGCCGAGCTTGGTAGCAAGCGCAGCGTCTCCTCGGCGCCGAAGATGCCGCCGAGTCGGCTCAAGTGCCCCTCCGCCGGCGCCGCTGTGGAAGTCGCTGTGGTGGTGGCGGTGGCTACGGCAGTGGAAAATTGCACGGACGACACGTTTTTGTCAAAATCCTCCCTCAGGGCGTAGTCCACCGAGAAGCCACTACCTTCGGCCAAGCCGCTGGGCTCCTTCTCTTCCTCACCGTTTGGGTGCGAGGTCTCTGGAGCTGCACGGGACAGCGAGGAGGGCACGCGGAGGTCGGGGAGCTGAGGAAACATCCCCGCACCCTCTTCCCCCTGGAGCCTCCCTACCAGGGAATCTGCACTTCCCTCCTCCTCATGGGTGCCACCATGATGAGAGTGCAGGGCTCCTCCCACCCCCAGAGTTGAGATCTCCTCGAGGCCTTGCAGGCCGACCATGGTTGACGGGGTGGCCCCAGGCGCAGTTAAAGGTGGGACTCGAGGTGGGGTCGGAGGGGAGGACGTCGTCCTCGTGACCTCGCCTGGATGGTGAGAGGTTCCGTCAACTGCCTCATCTTTCAGGTCCACCTCCCCGATCACCTCCTCGTTCATCACATTCTCATGCTCCACCACCTCATCCGCCAACTCACCCAACGTGCCCAGAATCCACCCCGACCCCTCAATCATCGCCGTCTCGGCGGGGCTGAGGGACTCCGCGTAGGAGGGTAACACAATTGCAGGCCCCCTCTGGATCCCTTCCGTTGCTATGGCGATGATGACTGTGGTCTCCTCCCCACTTCCCTCCACGTCCTCGGTGGTCGTTGCTTTCAAAAATCCCGCCTCCCCGATCACCTCCTTCTCCTCCTCCTCCGCTGGATCTGTTTTCACCTCTACTGCCATCTTCTCATGCACCCTCCTTGTCCCCTCTGCCCTCTCTTCCATTAGCAACGACTTCAGCGACAGAAGGAGGAACGTCGTTTGTCGTGATGGGAGACGTCAACAGATTATCTGTCTGCGTCGGAAAGACGTTGAGCGATGTGGCCCCTTCAGACAGAATCATCACTGCCTCCTCAGGCCTAGGGACAATAACGTCCAGCCCACGGTTGACGGCCGTCATGTCAGGGTTGACCCCTTGCTGACCGAGCGGGGGTTCTGCGAGAAAAAAAAGAGCGAGAGGTGGATTTAAGCGTCAGCAGCTGCCAAAGTAAAATAAAATCTGTCATCAACAGCTACCGCCATCATTTGGGGAGTCATCATCACCGTAGCTTTTTTAACAAGCCAAGTGATTTCCTACTAAACTAAAAGAATATTTTAAAACTAAACTATTTTGTTTTACCAGCTAAGGTCCACTAAGCTATATATCTCTTTTTCAGAAGTGACCTGGCCAAAAGTGATATCTCAACGAAGTGGCTTAACACATGGACATTTATAACAGCCAAATACTCTAAACGCATGTTGATTGATTCTAATTGTGGAGGGGAAAACCGCAGAATCCGGTGAAAAAAAATCCACGCGACCATGGGGAGAACATGCAGACGCCAAATATACAGGCATCAGGGTTGGGATCGAACCCACGCACTGCATACCAGGGGAGGAAGATAACGTCTCACGACCGTGACGTCACTTAAATAAATAAAGTATATCAGTTCAAATTGCATCAATTCCCAAGGTTGGGAAAGGCAGTAAAACATGACCATCAGTGTGGGTTCCGTCAAGTGTGGTCTACAGGGGACCTATCGGCTCACGTGACTCATCTAGAGCTCAAGTCTTGACCATGCTGGAGGGTCTATGATCAAAACTTCTTTCGCACCGTACCTAGCCAACCGTGTGCTGATCAGAGGAGCATGTCATCGCGTTGGGAATCGCACACTTCTTTCCAAGCTGCCATCATTTGGCATCCACTCTCCTGCAATCTGCAGGCTTGAATTGCCAGATTTCTGACTGAAAGGTCACAATGTGGATATCTTCAACGTCAACTCTGGCGTTCCGCAAGGATCTGTTTTGGTCTGCAACACTACTACGTCTTCTTTGTATTCGCTTTTTGTATTTAGTTTGTTGTCCTTTCCCCACACCTCTTATTAGTGCGGTTGACTAAGTATAGTGTGAAAGAAGTTCAACATACAGTACTTACTGCCCATCGACTACCACTACCCATAGACTCAACACTGAATCTCCGATTATCATGGTTGACTACGTACGGTGCAAAATAAGTTCAAAAACACACGTACATCATTAGACCTCCTTTGCCAGTACCAAAGTATAATATAGAGGTTTTCCCCTTTTTTTCTGGCAACAAAACTGAAACCTTTTACAAGGAATCATGTCTGCATTAACCACAATACTTGTGGTCAAAATGCAAACAAACAAAAAACACACTCTGATAATATATGCATTGTCCTTGAAACTGATTGGGCCACACCAGAGACGGCTTTCTTTTGAGCCTCGTCTTTTTTTTTTGGCGTCCTCTGGTCGAGCACCAATTGAGACGAGGCTCAAAAGAAAGCCGTCTCTGGTGTGGACCAATCAGTTTCAAGGACAATTTAATATTATCAGTGTGTTTTTTGTTTGGATTTTGACCACAAGTATTGTGGTTAATGCACACATGATTCCTTGTAAAAAGGTTTCAGTTTTGTTGCCAGAAAAAAAGGGGGGAACCCCTATTATTACACACATACATATATCACGATTGCTGAACCAACACATAAACTATCCACTGACAATCAGCACTGTTAAGGTTGCGATAGATAAGAGTTAACAGTTTTTTTAGGAAGGTTATTATTATTATGAATATACATACTTACATATTGATAAAATTATTTTACACTCACAATATGATCCACTGCTCTGCAGATGACAGCAAACTTACATGTAGTGCTCAGAAGCCCGTGATTACAAACTAAATACTCACCCCGTAGTGCAATGGGACTCAGTAATGGATTTCATACGAGTGATGTTTACCAGAGTCCAGAGAACACTGACTCCCCCGCCCCTTGCACTCCCTGCCCCCCACACTCAAAACATTGCGTTTCATCTCCATCTCCCCGCGTCTCCTGGCATCTCCTGGAATCTCTCCGCGTCTCCCCGCGTCTCCCGTGTCTCCCGTGTCTCCTGGCATCTCTGTGCATCTCCCCACATCTCCTCGCGGTCTCCCAGCGTCTCCCCGCGTCTCAACTCGCACCAAAAGATTTTGGACAGCACTCGGGACCGGGTGTGTGCTGGGGTGTGGAGGCACTACGTAGAGATTATCATTGGGTCCATCTCATGACCACAAATTCTTAATTTCATCACGGCTGTGTGAAATCTGTTACACTAACAGACGAACGCCTGTTCTCGACGATGATTCTTGTAGCGTGATTGGAATGATGAGGATTGTTTGGATCTGGATGCGATTTCGTGCACCCGCCTCTTTGTTTTCCAGCCTCCAGGGACCCCTTGAGATGCTTGGGGGTCCCCCCTGAAGCGTTGGCTTGAGGTTGCTGGAGCCTCACGCCGCCTACCATGGGCCGAGCCAACGCAATGGGCAACCCACGGCTGGGAACAGGCTGGTGACGTCACGGGGGTGGGGGCAGGCGCGCAACCATCTTGGGGGGGGGAGGCACGTGGCAACGTTGTCCCACGCATCAGAGGCCCAGTCAGCCACAGGGGGCCCCGAATCAACAAGATGAAGAAGTCAACTAAATGTTGAGATAATTTATTTAAAACTCATTTTATTCGCTAGAACTACCTGCGGTCTACCATGGACCAAACCCGATTAATGCATCTGGTTTTTGTATCAATAGAGCAGCATAAAGTTGCGTGATCCATCCCCTTTGAGGATATCCTTGTCTGATGGGGACGGCATGAAAGCAAGACGCAGGATAACTTAATTGTGAGTATCGTCACAATTTTAATCATTTTTATACTACCGTCCCCGTGAGACCGTCTCCCTCTAAACCCCAATTCACGGTGCAACTTGAATCATCTATATATAGTCATAATCTACGTATATTGTCCGTGGGGTTAAAAACATTCGTAGCTATTTCAGTCAAAAGTGAAGTTGGAGAAATGAGGGAGCGGCCTACAGTCGGATCTTCCACAGCCCCCCACCCACCCCACCGTTGAAATAGGTCGCTGTGCCCCTGAGTGCAGGTGGAGGGGTGGTGGTCATTGCCAGGGTCTCTTCTTCTCTTGCTCACTCTATGGGCAACTCGGGAGCTGCCCCCCCCTCACTCCAACGCGATATTTTCAAAAAAGCCAAATGTCGTATTCAAATCCCCACAAATCACTTCCACATGGCACAGTTGTAATTTCCCTAAGTGAGGTCCCAGGCTTCACTGTGCCCTGCTCCACAACTCTGTAGCCCATAATGGAGGAGGCCGCGGGTGGCATCGAGACCAGAGCGTTGAGCCGGCACGACTGAGAGCCTGGGTTCGAATCTGGGTTTCAGCCACTGCCTGCGATTAAACTGGGCTCTCAAGTGGAGCGAGTTGCTGGTCTCAGCCCTGTCACCAATAACTGCTTTCCTCAAATTAAATTTGGTTACGCATTCAAGGTACACACATGCAGCACTGCCATGCGATGAACATTGCTCCCATAATGCAGGGCGGATGGGGAAACTGCCACCCTGTATTGTGGTGTATCAAATATCGATTGAAGGGATCTCTCCGGTAGCTCTGTGACATCCGCTTCTGTGGGGCGCATTCTCCAACACAGAGGGTCGCACTGCCTTGCGAGGGATCCGAAAGGATTCTTCGTCTCACGGACGATGCAACCCTGACAGCGTGATCCGAATATAATCCGGGGAGACCGACAGAGACCATGCCAACCACACCGTCATCAACACCAAAGACAAAGCTTCCCCGTATAGCCTACAACAGACTGTTGGGAGCAAGTGCTGTTAGCAAGCAGCACCTATGAAGGCCGGCATGGCACACTAGGGGGTGCGTGGTCAGCACCACGCCCGGACACCTTCGTTTCCCTAGTAGTGATGTTTAAAGACCTTACCAGGTACTCATTTGAGGCTGAGGCGATCTAGGGGAGGCCCACGACCGATTCAGATATTCGTCACTGCTGGTGGCTGTAAGTGGGAATCGAATTTGGGTCGCTGGGTCCGAAGCGCAGTGCGCTAACCGCTACACTACCACTCCCCATCATCAACACCAACCACACCTACATCAGCATCAACCACACCATCATGAACATCAACCATACCCTTATCAACAACATCATCATCATCTGTTACTTGATGGTGCACCACATTAGTCTAAATGAGTTCCGGAGCACCACACTATACTTCGGTTCCAAGGGTCCTCACTCACTTTGCGATGGCCGGGCTAAGCTCCCCTTCTCAAGGTGGGCAGGCTGGGTCCCAGTCAGCTGCCTCCACTGGGTCCCCGGTGGCTCCATCCGGGTCTGAACGGCCTTCGTAGTTCCGGCCATCACCGAGAGATGGGGACTGATCACGCTGAGGATAAACCCACCTTCCACCACGGGCTCTCCCGCCATGACCCCCTTTCTCCACGGTGACTCCCTCTCTCCCGCCATGACCCCCTCTCTCCCCGTCACCCGGTTCACCCACGATGACTCCAGCAGGATCAGCATGGGGCTCTCTGTGACCTCCTTCCGTGGAGCCGGGCTCAGCGTTGCCATGGCTGGACCATCGGGCCGGCCTCGTCAGCGACCACTCGGGCCACATTCCGTGTCGTCGTCGTGGTCATCGCCATCGTCTCCTCTCGGTCATCTTGGGCCTGGGGGCGACCGATAGGGTCGGACGGTGGAGATGGCGGCAGGGGCATGGGGACGGCAAATGGGGTCTCTGACACAATGGCTCTGGTCGCCGACCCCTCGGGGGAGCCGTCTCCGCTGGTGCCGTCCGACCCCACGTCCCCCCCGCGCCGTCTCCGCTATCCTTCGATCGGCTT